TTATGGTCAAAATTTGGGCCCTGGACCTCAGACAGTGGAGCCAGGATGTATCCCTGGTACACAAAAGGACTTTGTGAACACATCCCCCATGGAGGGATAATTGCTTTAATCTAGAGACAGGAGAGAAGCCCTAGTCCCTACTTCACATGACCTGTCAGATGTACATGATCCCAACTGGATGGTATTCCCCTACATATGGAATAGGGGTGGAGGGATGGGAGGGGAGGGTGGTTAGAGTGCATGTGAGAGGGCAGAGAGGATAAAAGGGAGGGAAGGAGGGAGAGAGGGAGGAAGAGAGGGAGGAAGGGAGGAAGGGAGGGAGGGAGGGAGGGAGGGAGGGAGGGAGAGGAAACTGGGATCGACATGTGAAATAATAAATTAAATTAAAAAAAAATGCTTTGACTCCAAAATTTAAGTTGAAGGACAAGTTACTGGGGAAAAGGATTTCTATTTTTGTTTCCACAGAAAATGAAAAGATGTGGATTCCTTCCAGACTAATGTGGTTTGATCAAGCCAGACCACCTGAAACGGAGTACCAGGTGATCCTACATTCAAAACAGCTGGACAAAGCAGCCTTGCAGACTACAGTCAGAATTTCTGAATCTTCTTCGAATCCCCCAGGATAGCACCCCTTACCAGCAGGAAGTAGTTTGGAAAGAACAACACCCAAATTCCCAAATATTGTCTATAAATGTTTGTTCTCATTTAAATGGACTTTGCTATAAATTAAAAAAAAAAATTGGGCCCTGGAAGTCCCCATAAGATAGAGTCAGACACCATTCCCCAGCAGGCCAATTAAAGAGACAGTAGAGAAAAGCAGAGAAGGAAGAATTTATTGATTGTGGCCACAAGGGAAGAGGGACAAGCAAAGAGGTCTATGGACTCCCAGGACCATCTTTGGGATACTGAATTGGGGTTTAGGTTTACATAGAGATCAAGTGGTTTTCTTACCTAAGAAGTCATGATTAACGTGTAGTCCTTCCCATCAATGACTCATCATTGTCTTCTTAACTCTGGTCTGTCAAGCAAACTGTAAGCTCTGTGTGAAATGTCTACCCGGGAGTCACGTTCTTCCTCTGGTTGATAACTGGGTCTCACTCAGCCTTTCCCTTTACCTAGCATAGGGCTCTGAGGGAGATCTTAATCTTTGGTATCCATTGGTTACATTTTTAGAGCATCTCCATCCAGGGCAATCACAGTATTTCAGATGCTGCAGTTATGTGGTGACATGGTGGGACTCTGGGGTACATGTTGGTGAGAACAATGGACATGAACAGTACCTAGGAAGGCACATGTGCATCTTTACATAGTCATTTTCTTATGTCACCAACTACTAGAACTATTTCCTGAAACAGATGAAAGTTGGATTTCTGGTAATAATGACAGAGACTCAGGAGGACTTTAAGATGGGCCAGAGGTCATCATGAAAGCCCAGGGTTAAAGCTACAGCCAGTCTGAACCTAGTTTTCCCCAAGCATTAGGCAGTACAAGGCAAAACATTGGGCAAAAATGTAAATGAAAGAGAACTACAGCAAATGCATCACTGTTAAGCCAGATGGTGGCTCATGATTATAACTTCAGCATTTGGGACATTGAAGCAGAGATTTTCCATGAGGTTTGAGACCAGTCTGGGCTACATAGTAACTTGCAGTCTTTCCAAGGTTACAGAGTAGGATACTGGAATAAATATCACTCTTCACATTCCTAATATGTGTAGTTAGTGCATCTGAAGAACAAAAACAGACAGAAAAATAAGTGACCTGCTAAGTTGGTGTTCACATTTGTAAAGTGGAAAAATACACTCACTCTAAGGTTCAGCCATTCTTAAAACTGAGAATGGGAGAGGGCTGAAGAACTTGGAGGCAACTTCTTCATTGCTGCCTCAAGGCCCTGAAGAGTGGTGTGGCTGCATTGGGTACCTGGATCAGATCCTGGACTATAGAGGAACGCAGAAATCCCAGATAACAAAGAAGGGTGCCTTATCAGACTCCATCCAGATCCCATTTCTCAGAGGCATAGAAGGCCTCTTGTGTGAAGTTGGAAGGGGCAGGGCAGGTGGCAGCAGATGGATGGCAGAAGGCTTAGAAGTGGAAAGGAAGGCTTTCTCATGAACCTAAGCTGCTGACAGTAAAAAACCAGGTGGATGACAGAGAATGCCAGAGGAAGCAGCCAGGAAACACAATCCTCACCCACTTCAAAGATTTTGGAACAAGATTCTGGTTGTTATCTTGCTAAAACTTCACAATAACACGTTTTTAGAATAGGCAAGGCAGAGATTATTATAAGTACCTGCAGAGGAGGAAACAAAGGCCAGGCCATTCCTGACTCATGGCCTATAGCTTTCTCTTTGATAACTTTCCACTATGAATGGATGGCCCTCATTTTGTTCCTCCTCTGTTAAGGAACTTTTTCCCAGGGGCCAGAGTGAGGGGCAAAGCTGAAATGTTTAGCACCAATAGCCTGGTTCATATTTTAAAAACTTGACATTTGTTTTTGTTAAGTGGTGAAGTTTAAAGAGACAGGACAAATGATGGTCATTTTGAGGCAAAGTAAAAAAGATGGGGAAATCAAGGGGCATGAGAAGAGAAAGAAACCCCATTACCTTGGGATCCAATTTGCCCTTTCTGCTCCCTGAAATTCAAGAAATCTCATCACAACAAATCAATCCAATATTACGTCAGAAGTAGTTTATGTTTTCCTAAAAGCACCTTAAACAAGGATGTTAAAAACAATGGATGAGTTATGCTTACTTTAGGCCAAAATGTTTGTAACTCTGAGATTTATTGTTTTAATAGTCCTCATTCATTCCTAAATATATGCAGTAAAATAGCCATTAATTTTATTTTTAAAAGGGGGTGGGATTCTTTAAGGAAAATATGGGGTTGGAGAGATGGCTCAGCAGTTAAAAGCACTGGCTGATCTTCTAGAGGTTTGATTCCTAGCACTCATGTGGCAGCACACAACTGCCTGTAACCCCAGACCCCAGGGATCCAATGCCCTCTTCTGGCTTCTGCAGGCACCCAGGCATGCATGTGGCTCACATACATACGTACATTCAGAAAAAACACTCATACACATACAGAAAAGGAAGGAAAGAAGAAAGGAAAAGAGGAAGGGAGGAAGGGAGGAAGGGAAAGTAGGGGGGTGTTCTGATTAGTTTTATGTCAACTTGACACAAGCTAGAGTCATCAGAGCAAAGAGAACCATAATTGAGAAACTGCCTCCATAAGACTGGGCTGTAGACAAATCTATAGTGAATTTTCTTAATTAGTGACTGATGGGAGAGGGGTCAGTCCATTGTGGGTGGTGTCACCCCTGGGCTGGTGGTCCTGGATTCTATTAAAAAGCAGACTGAGCAAGCCATGTAGAGTAAGCCAGTAAGCAGCAACCCTCCATGGCCTCTGCATCAGCTCCTGCCTCCAGGATCCTGCCCTATTTGAGTTCCTGTCCTGATTCCCTTTGATGATGGACAGTGTAAGCTAAATAAACCCTTTTCTCCCCAGGTTGCTTTGGTTACACTAATAGTAACCCTGACTAAGGCAATAAAATAGGCTGTAGACACTTGTTTAGTATGCAAAAAGTCCTGGGTTTAATCCTCAACATCACAGAACATTAGGTGTGATAGAAAACATCTTTATCAACCCAGAAGTGAAGTCAGGAATATCATGTGTTCAAGGTCACCATCAGCTGCAAATCAATTACAGGCCAGGCTGAGATACATGCAACCTTGCCTTTAAAAAAACAAAACAAAACAAAAACAAAAAAACCATACCAAACAAAACACAAAACCAAAAAACAAAAACCGGGCTGTAGTGGCACACAGCTTTAACCCAAACACTCAGGAGACAGAGGCAGGTGGATCTCTGTGAGTTTGAGTCCAGCCTGGTCTACAAGAACTAGTTCCAGGACAGCCTCCAAAGCCACAGAGAAAACCTGTCTCAAAAAACCAAAAACCAAAAACTAAACAAAAAACAGTGGCACACATCTTTAATCCCAGCACTTAGGAGGTAGAGGCAGGCATATCTCTGAGTTTGAGGCCAGCCTGGTCCACGAAGTGAGTTCCAGAACAGCCAGGAAGGACAACACAGAGAAACCCTATCTTGAAAAGCCAACCAAACCAACCCAACTAACTAGGGATGGCTAGGTAACTCCACTTGTAAAGGTGCCAGCTTCACAAGTCCAACGACCTTTTGTTAATCTCTGGGGCCCAGTTAAGGTAGAAGAAGAGAACCAGCTGCCCATAGTTGTTCTGTGACCTCCCCATGCAAGCAAAGACACCATATACAAAATACTAACTTAACATTTAAATCTTTACAAATCTTTGCTTTTAAACCTTATGAAAATTCTAAGCTTCATTAATCTTGCTGTAAATTACAAGCTTTGAAGATTGGCTTAGAAAACCACAGCAGCCCATACAGCTGTGTTGTGGGGTTGTACACTGCCTTTGCCTACATGACTCTTTGTCTAAATACCTGCTATACTGACTGCTTTGTTCTCTCTGGTCCTGAAATTCTTTTTGGCAGGCAGTGTAGTCAAGGATCTGGCTTTACCTGCGCAGGACAGAGGTTGCTAAGGGGGAAGCGAACTCCTCAGGCTGTGAGTGCCTGTGTCTCCAGGCTGCATCACTGTTGACAATCTGAGTCAATGCTTTTCAAACTTGAGTTGTCATGCAAACCTTGTGAATATGTTGTGGAAAGGTAGGCTGCATTTCGGTGGCCTGAGTTACTCCTGTTACTTGGAGGGGGAAGATACAGCCTCTCAGGTTCCAGACAGAAAAGTGTCCACCTTCATCTAACTCACCTTCACCTGTCAGAACATGTGCCTACCCACATGTCTCCTGTATCAAGAGAGCAAGGCTGAGCAGAGGAGAGAGAAGGAAAGAGGTGGAGACTGACAGCAGCTCTGTGATTGGCTGTGCATCTCCAAACTGGTGCCTGCTGGGGATACTCAAAAGGGATCACAGTTTCTGAGGTTGGAGACTCAGTGTTCCTTGTGCAGCCATGACCCAGACATTCTGGGCCTCCTGTCTTTTCCCACTGTTTATAGCAGCCTTGGCTCAGGAGCCTCTGAATCCTCAAAAAGCAAAGGTAAGCAACCCCAGGGCATCTGATAAGATTCCAACATCTGATAAGAAAAATGGCTACTAAGAGATTCAGGAGCCTATCCAGTCTTAAAGGGAGAGAGCTGCCTGACCGCCTTTCTTTGTGGACCTCTGTCTCTGGTGCCCTCTGCCTCGGCACTTTTCCCACCTGTTCATTTTAACTTCAAAATAAGAGAAGCTCTTTGAAAACCTCAACGTCGCTTGTGTCTTTAAATGACTTATGTATCTTTTGTCAATTCTGGCTCCCTTCTGTAAAAGGCAAGGGATAAGCTCATCACAGAGCACTAATTCCCAGACTTTAGCTAAACTGAGAACCCACTGGTGACTGGCTCCCACTCCTAGAGCTTTTGATCCAATGTCTTCTTGGGAGCCCAGATATTTCTAAAATGCTCTCATGGTGCTTATGCAAGCTCCTAAGTCTGACCTTTGAGTTTTGACCTCTGTTATTGGGCATGTGAAGGGTAAGGATGCATGTAAAATTCTGATTGGCAGCCGGAAAGTCACAAGTTACCTACTATTAAGTGAGGTCTCAGTCCAGTGGAGCAGGCATCCTCTAGGGACACCCATGTCTGTGTTTGCCACCAATGCCTGCTTGGGTGTGAAGTTCCTCAAACAGAAATTCTTTAGTTCTTAAAATTTCAAGATATTGCATGAAAAATCTTCACGCGATTTGAAAATGCTGACAGGCGTTGGGGATTTTGGTTTATTAGGCCATACCACCGCAGTTACTTGTGTTATATTACAGGTGGATTGTAACAAAGGGGTGACTGGCACCATCTTTGAGTATGGAGCCAAGACCCTGAACGGCAAGGAATATGTTCAGTTCCAGCAGTATGCAGGGAAGCACATCCTCTTTGTCAACGTGGCGTCCTTCTGTGGCCTGACAGCTACTTATCCTGGTAAGAACTCAAGTTTTGATTCTCTCTCAGAACTAGCCTGCTGTAGCTGTACCACCATTTTGTGACTGGAGAAGGTTTCCCTGGAATTGAGGAATGCATAAGCACACTGACTCTATTCCCCTAAATTTTTCCATTCTGCTGCTTTTAATGTCAGGATTATCTCTGTTCTGAGGATCAAGGTTTTCCCTGGGATATATTGGACAGCCACTAAGAACACATCTATGGTTGAACAAGTTGGAATTGCTTGCGCATCTGCCACAGGGAACACAGAGGATTATCAGGAAAGGATAAAGAAGACTCAGGCCATCTGAGCTAGTGTCAGGTAGTTCGGGGAAGGATTTGAGGAACTGGACATTTGCTCTGGATTAAAGGCTGTCAGGAAATGAAGAAGGGGCAATTATGCAATTGGTTATCTTATAAAACGTACATTGTAAGAGAAACAGGAAGGCTGAAGTTGTAAATGGTAAAGCAGTCACAACTATTTATATTGGCAGGGTGACAAATGGTCATTTTGTCATTTAGACTATGTGTGTGTGTGTGTGTGTGTGTGTGTGTGTGTGTGTGTTCAGAGGTGATTGTAGAGCAGTCTTGATTGGTCATGGTTGCATATTCTGATGTTCATGTTCTGTGGAGTTGATTGATAGATCACCAAACACCAAAGCTTTCCTGTGGCTCATAGGCCAGAAAGTAGAATAGTGGAGATGGGTTTGCATTATGGGGAGTCATAATGCAGATTATGTGGCTGGTCACATGGCTCAGTTAGCAGAGTACTTATCTAGCATACACAAAGTTCTGGGTTTGGTCCTCAGCATTCCATGATGTAGTGGTACAAACCTGTCTTCTCAGCACTTGTGAGCTGAAGGCAGGAAGATCTGGAGTTCAAAGTCATTATCCAACACTGAACTACTTCTGAAGATCCCATATCAAAACAAAAACAAGCATCAGGAAGCTAGGGAGATGCCTCAGTGCATAAAGTGCTTGTTGAACACACCCGAAGACCTGTATTCGGTTTCCTAGAACCTACAAAAATTCAAACATGGTAGAGGCACAAGCCTGTAAGCCTAGAATTGAGAGACAAGAGGAGATGAGGCAGGTGGATTCCTCCTGCTGACTGTTCAGCCAGTCTAAGTAAAACAGTGACCCCTGTTCAGTGAGAGATGATCTAAAAAAAAGTACAATGTATGTCATATGCTATAAAGTGGAAAAACATAAGGTGGGTATAAATAGAAGAAAACACCAAACATCTACCCCCTGACTACACACACACACACACACACACACACACACACACACACACACACACACCACTAATACCACCACCACCAATAACAACAGCAATATTAAATAAGACTGCTTTTATCTTTGGGAGACACACCCAAATGACAAAGGAGAATGAAAAATTTTTATTCAAGCTGCTATAATTGGCATGAAGGCTGCTTGGAGCAAGTGGTAGATATAGCAGAATGTTCTATCTCCCTATTGTGTCAATCATGGAAGAATTTTATATTTTTGTTAAACCAAATACGGTCATATTAATTTCTCCATGAACTGTACAAGTAACATATATAATTTTTGACACACTAAGAACATTATTGTTTTAAGAATATCCATGATAACTTCAGAAGGTTTATTGAATCAAATACTACAGATAAGTGGACCAAAATAATACAGAAATAAGTTTTTTTTTTTTTTTTACAAATTCCACATGTTCACACTGCTATCTACTTGACTAATCAAAAATATCAAGTGCTGTTCAAAAGTAATTTTTGAGATAGGTTCTCAGTCTTTAAAACTCATGATCCTTCTGCCTCTGCCTCTCAAATGTTTTGATTATATGTGTGAACAATATTATTACACACCATCAATTTTTTAATGCAACTATAATAATCACAAATTCTAGAATTTTTTGCTTACTACTTAAATTGATGCATACAGCAATGTCTCAGATCTAGGGCGTATGTGTCATCAAATTTTGGTATTTTGAAGTTATTCAGAGGATGATGCTTGACTTAGCCATAGTTATATTAAAATGCTGCTTCCTCAGGAAGGCATTAATAGTATAGCCTGTAATCCCATTTGGTAGGGGGAGGTAGGAAGGTCAGGAGTCCAAGATCATTGTTGCTTGTATATCATGTAGCCTAGGCTGCATGTAGTCCTGTCTTAAGGAAAATTTAAAAAAAAGAATAAAATACCATATGATATAAAACACAGCCAAACAACAGTTTCAGAGTTCAAGAGAAGCTAAAGACTTACTTCAATTTTAGTGGTGAAATTACAGGTGTTTTGTTCTTGTCTTTTTTAAAATTTAGTTTTATGTATTTGGTTGGTTTATATGTATATATGAATGTATGTGTCTATGTATCACAGGCATGCAGTACTCATAAAAGCCAGAAGAAATATTGAATCCTCTGGAACTGGAGTTATAGATGGTTGTGAAATGTAATGTGAGCATTGGGAATTGAAACCACGTCCTCTGGAAGATCAGTCAGTGCTCTTGACCACTATATTTCTGTATCTTTATGTGGAATCAACTTTAAGAAAAATCTGAAAAGTTATATGTTAAATTTTTAGAAAACTCAAGAACCTAAACTTAAGAGCCAAAAATCAGTTTAGAATCAGTTAACAAATGGGGATTTTCTTTCCTTCAAAAAGTTGAAAATATGGTAGATTTGGAAAGTTGTTATAATTTAATTGTAGGGCTAAGAGTATGGCTCAGTGGTAAAATACTTGACTGGCATTAGTATAGGTCTGAGGGAATTTTTAAAATTTAATTTTAATGCATGTGTTTAGTATATAGTATTTCACAACATTCAAAAGATATAAAAGGGTTTAATAGGCATATTGCCCAAATTCCCTTTACTTTAGGGAGTTTGTCATAGTTTGTAGTATATGTTTCCCGAAATCAATCTCTCTTTTTCGTGTGTGTGTGTGTGTGTGTGTGTGTGTGTGTGTGTGTGTGTGTGTATGTAAGAGAGATAGGAATAAATACACACAAATTATTTTTCACCTTGCTCTTTTGCATAATAAAATATCTTGGGTATTGTTCCACTACTGTGGAACAATATTTGTACACTGTAAATATGTATTGCTATCATTGGTTAATAAAGAGATGACTGGTCTATAGTTGGGCAGGAAGAGATTGAGCAGGAAGACCAGATTAGGAAGATGCTGGGAAGAAAAAGGGCAGAGTCAGAGAAGCTGCCAGTCAGACACAGAGAGGAAACAGGAGGTGCAAGATAAGAGAGGTAACATTATGTGGCAGAATGTATATTAATATAAATGGGTTCATTTAAGTTGTAACAGTTAGGTAGTAACAAGCCTGAGCTATTGGCTGATCATTTATAATTAGTAATAAGTCTCTGAATGATTATGTGGTAAGTAGTTGGCAAAACAGAGCTGATCATGAGCCCAGTGGAAAAATTCTACCTTCACCTCACTTTTCTGTGTGTTTAAGACTGGGTATTCAGTAAATAAAGTTGTCTTGAACTTCTGATCCTCCTGATCTGTCTCCCAAATGTTGGGATTATAGGCTTCAACCACTATGCCTGGCTACTTCACTCATTTTGAATTAAACTATGTCATGAGAATTTTAGAAAACACCTCAAATTTTACTCTCAGTGAAAAAGTTGAGAGGGCTCAGAGCTTACCAGAGACCAAAGTTGAAGTTTATTGAGTTTCTGCTACAAAGAGGGAGCTGAAGCTGAGGGACAGGTGAATGTAAGCAGCTACTGAAGAAATTTGTATAAAATGTTGTTATATGAGCTGGAGGTGTAGTTCAGTTTATTGAATACTTGCCTAGCCTGTATGAAACCCTAGGTTCAAACTCCAGCACCACATAAACCAACATGGTGATGCAGTTTTTTTAATACCAGCACTGGGAAGGGGAAGGTGGAGGTGGGAGGGTCAGAAGTTGAAGGTCATCCTTGGCAACACAGTGAGCTGGAAGGCATCCTGATCATGCATGAAATGTATGTCTCAAAAATAAATTTTATATAAAATGTATTAAACATATACTTTCACATAAAATATACAAGAATTAAACTAAAACTTGAAGGTACTCTCATCTAGGAAGAGGCTCTTAGGTGAGTCCCCAACAAGCAGAGATGAGCCTAAATGAGTTTAGTGACTTGTTCTGAGTAGTAACCAAACTGAAAATGACGGTAGAGCAGTGGCAGAAGTCTGAGCAGACACACCAGGCACTCTTAGTATATGAAGAACAGTCTAAACTGTGTGCCAGGGATCCTACTGGGGTGGAAATGGTCTTAGTTTATTGGTATTGAGGTTAGGGTAGAGAATGCTATATAAGTTGGTTCGTATTTCTCTCTCTCTCTCTCTCTCTCTCTCTCTCTCTCTCTCTCTCTCTCTCTCTCTCTCTCCTCTCTGAGAAAGTGTCTCACTAAGTAAACTTGGTGAACCTGGTACTCACTCTACAGGTCAGGCTGACCATTCCTCATCCTCTGCCTCTGTCTCCCAAGTGTTGGGATTATAGGTGAGCACTGCAGCCAGACTCTGGTTTTCTGTTTCCTTCTATTCCTTCTAATGTGTAACAGCAAAGAGTGCTTCTGGGAAAGTGACTGTAGTGTCAGAGCTTGTCATCATGGGACATGGTGGGAGGACAAGAGAGTATGCTAATTTTGTTTGCTTTTTCCTTATAAAACATCCTAATTGGTCCACCACCTAATGAAGAGAATGCACCTTGAGTCTAGCCTCCTTTCAGAATCAAGCAGGATTTTCCATAGGTCTCATCAGTCCATGTCTATTTGCTTTAAACAGACTCTCTGCATGGAAAGTGAAGGGCAATGAAACCTGGGAAACCCTGTGTCACAAAACCAGCAGCCTTTGAGAAGAGTTTCCGGGAACCTGTGTTATAGCTGTTTGCTCTGCCTTTTTAATGTCTGTAGCTATTCATAGTCTTTAGTACATTCATGTGATAAGAGGACAAACCTTGATCAGGAAGCCTACCCATGCTATTCACCCTCTACCTACAGAACTGAACAGACTGCAGGAGGAGCTGAAGCAGTTCAATGTCATTGTGTTGGGCTTTCCTTGCAACCAGTTTGGAAAACAAGAACCTGCAAAAAACTCAGAGATCCTCCTTGGACTCAAGTGAGTGCTATGTGGGGCCCCAGAGATGCCCTTTCCTCGTCTGCTTAGATAGCTTTCCATTCCAGAATCTTCTAGGGTAGTAGATAGAACAATGGGCTGAAGAATGCCATCATGATGCCTTGAATTCCATCTTCAGGGTAAGAATAGGGAAGATCTAAGGAAAAGAAAGACGGGCCTGGAAATCTGACGTCAAAATATCCTGTCCCCAGTGTCTTGGAATTCTCTGATTGCATGAAGCCTCCTACATGGAATCTTGATGCCAGAGGCCCCTCTTCCTCCCCCCTCTCTCTCTGCAGTTCTTTCCATCCCTTTGTGAGGACCATTGGTGGCCATTTCTATCCCTCCTCTATTTAATTTGGATTCTCTTGAGAACACTTTGTTTCACTGCAGGTATGTGCGTCCAGGAGGTGGCTATGTGCCCAATTTCCAGCTTTTTGAGAAAGGGGATGTGAATGGAGAAAATGAACAAAAGATTTTTTCTTTCCTAAAGGTGAGTAAACAAACATGGAATGGATCAGCCAGATAGGATTCTCTGGAAGCAATGGGGCAGGTATCTTTGATAAGATGGGACTCCCTAAGGAGTAAATTCACAGGCATGAGGCATTGGCTTCAAGCAGAGGAAACATACATGATAGCTCTGATGTGGATTAATATCCCCTGCTGAACACTAATGATTTGTGTATTTGATGATCATTAATCAAATCCCTACTTTATTCAAGGAGCTGTGAAATAGAAGTTAACAGTTATTAATAGGTTAGTCTCTTACCTGAAAGATATATTTTAAAGTTGGAGATGACATAGGCATGGCTAAGAGAGAATGTCAAGGGAAAAGAATCACAGAGTGTTATAGCTGCAGAACAGCAAGAAGGACCTTCCCAACAAGGATTACTTAGTCACTTATTCCCAGAGGATGGTTTGCAGAACAAAGCTGTCCCTGTGGATATTTTCACTTACCACAACAGACTGAAACAAAAGATCTACTTATATAAACATAAAAGACAATTGTTTATTCCAACAATAAGTTACGGTCAGGCTACAGCACATGCTTTTTGTAGCACAAAAGATGACAAAACATGGTGGCTCATACCTGTAATGATAGTACTCAGAATGCAGAGGCCAGGGGATGGCTATGAATTCTAGGCTAATGTAGTCTAAATAGTCCTCTCCAAGCAAGCCACAGCTATATAACAAGGCCCTGTCTGAAAACAAACAAGACAGTGATATCCATACAGAGTTGTCTAATACTTCAGAGTCCTATCTGGTGTGGTGACATGCTTGAAATCCCAGCACTTGGGAGGCTGACTTCATAGTCAGCTTGAGTTTCACACTGAGTTTCAGACCAACTTGGGCCTTCAAGTGAAACTAACTAACTAGCTAACTAACTAACTGACTAAATAGATAAATAACGAACTGTGGAACTGGACGACCTGCTCAGCAGTTAAGAGCATGTACTGATCTTCCAGAGCAATTCCAGAACCCACATTATGCAGCCTACAACCACCTCTTCAGCCAGGGATCCAACCGCCTGTTCTGAAATTTGCAGGACCTGTACTCACAGGTGTACACACCCACCTGGAACACACACGTGCACACCCGTGCGCTCACGCACACACGCACCCACACAATTTTGAAATAAGATAAGTCTAAAGAAAAGAAAGTAAATAAATAAAATTTCTTAAGATTTAAATTTAGAGTTACAACATATTTTTAATTTCCTTATTTACAAAATAGCTATTGAACTGCTAGGGTTTATGAAGTCTCAAAGTCTGGGAATTACTGCTCTAAAAACAACCTATTATTTTTCTCCTATGGATACTGAGATCATATAAATAATGACTTACTGAAAGAAATGGATTTTTTTTTAAAGACAGGGTTTCTCTGTGTAACAGCCCTGGCTGTCCTGGCTCTCGCTGTATAGACCAGGCTGACCTTGAACTCAGAGATCCACCTGCCTCTGCCTCCCAAGTGCTAGAATTAAAGGTGTGTGCCATCACGCCCAGCTGAAGGTATTTTTTACTCATCATGATGAAATCTTAAAACTAGAGGAGTGAGTGGCAGGAAAGTGGGGTGCTTTTCACTGACTGTCATACTTTCTACCCTGGTTAGAATGGCAGGTCATTATAATAGAGCTGGAAGCATGTGGAGTTCCAAACATTAAGATTTATAGCAGTGAGCAGAGGAGACTGGACAACACAGAAGCAGAAATGAGATCATCTTTCCATTTTTCATTTATCTCTGTTCCAGAACTCCTGCCCTCCCACCTCTGAACTTTTGGGCTCATCAGAATATCTCTTCTGGAATCCCATGAGGGTCCATGACATCCGCTGGAACTTTGAGAAGTTCCTGGTGGGACCTGATGGAGTCCCTGTCATGCGCTGGTTCCACATGACTCCTGTCAGCACTGTCCAATCAGACATCATGGAGTACCTAAACCAAACTCTTACCCACTAGGATATGCTTTACAAATAATGTCTTTGCCCCATTCCTTCACCAGCCTCCACATGACCAAAGCATGCAGCATTACCTGTGTCCCTACTAGTGCATGTGTGAACAGCTCTGTATGCAGAAGTGTGTACATGCACTGAAAATTAAGTCAAAGAAAATCTATCTACCCAAATATCTGATTCTGCTATATCAAGTTTTCCTAATCTATTCCAAAAGGAAGTCATATTGTAGTGTTGATGATCCAGACTATCCCATCCACCTAAAACAGCAACCCTGCAAAGGTCCTAATCTATCACTGTCCTGGTGGGTTAAAAGAAGTGAAAACGGATAGCAAGATCATCTGAATTCCTTCCCCAGCCTCTTCTCCTCCCAAGCTGGGCATGCTTTGTCAAGCTCTTCTTCTGTCTATCCCCTTTGGTGGCACAGCATTGTACAGCTTTCTTAGGGGATTCTGAAAGCTGAGAGCAGAAACCTCACCTGGCATGAAGGGAGGGGCATCTCCACCCCATTAGGGCGGATGAGACCTTACCAGAGCCTCCTTGGGTGCCTTCCTGTTAGTGCATTCGGGTCTTGGCTCCTGACCACAGATGTCCTTCATATCAAATGATGAACTCTGCTCTCACCCTGACTCTTTGCAACTTTAAATTAATTTCTATTACCACTGTCTCACAAAAACAATAATAATAAAAAAAAAATCAAAGAACCCGCAGCAGTGGACTCTGAGTGATGTTTTTCAGTCCATGTTAGGTGCTTTCTTGACCTCACTACTTATATCTTTAACGTTCTGGTTTTCTCAAAAGTGTTCTAGAATCTTCTTTGGTACTACTAAAAGCATCAGGTGGTACTGCAGACACACTGCTGCTCATATCTAAAGCCCAGACCTATGGGTGTAGCTCAGGCTAGCCTTGATTTTCCAGTCATCCTTTCTGTCTCAGCCTTTCAAGTAGCTAGGAATACAGGTATTGCAGTCACGCCCAGCTCACAGACTTTCTGGAGCCAGGCCTTTCTGTACCTCCTATTTTGATCATTTAGCCAAGCCCTCCAAACCCCTACAAAAGAGGACTTCTTACTTCTGAAAGAATCTCTCTCTCTCCCTTCTCTGTCCCTCCCTCCCTTCCCCCTCTCATTTCTGTTTATAAAATTAATTCTTACTTAAAGTTAAATTTGAATGCACATATTGTCAAATTGTAAAAAAACAACAAAGCCTGATCTTTTTCAGAGGTGCAGCAACCCTAAGAAAATCCCTACTGTCAGTGGTCAGCTGGCTAGTGTACTTTGTTCTATTCAGATGGAAAGCTGAAGTAGGAAAAGTAGCTTTTTTGGTGTCTGTAGTTCTGGCCCTTGATTGTCATAGGGTTATGGTCTCATAACGCTTCTAGTCTTGTCTAGAAGACTACAGCCTTTTGGCTATGGGCTCAACAGTCCAGAGACTACTCCCAGTGTTTAGGGTGGGGGCTTGTTAGTCTGTGATTTGCTTGCTAGTCCAATTGTAATCCTCTGCTCTTATCAGGATCTGGTGGCGGCTTCAGCCAGTATACTCAAGCCTTAGGTATTGGATCCTACAGCTAGTGTTCCAGCTTTTAAGTGGTTTGTCAAGCCCCTTGATTCTTACAGCATAATGTTACAACATCCAGACCTAGAAATTTGGGACACTTGGCTATTCGGGCTTGGAGGCTCTCTGAAACTCTTCCAGCAACCAGGACCTATAGTCTCTCACCTTCGACTCATCACAGCCCATGTGCCTTGTGCCTGAGAAGCTGAGGTTTCAACTCTGCTGCTGCTTTGAAAAATACAGCATCTATGCTTCTGATCAAGAGAAAATAAACTCTGTTCTGGGGAACCCACATTAGTTATTTTTTTGCCTATGTGGTCAAATACAAAAGCAACATAAGGGAGGGAGGACTTGCTTTGGTTTGTAGTCGATCATGAACCCAACAGCTTATGGCGTTTCTCTGGCAGCAAAAGTGTGAGGTAAATGCATACAGCTCAGCAGGACAGGCTGTACCTCATATGGCCTGCCCTGCAGTGACCTACATCCTAAAGGTACCACAACCTACCCCAAAGCCTCCATGATCTGAGCATCATGTGTTCACATGAGTCTGTGCGGAACATTTCACATCCAAACCACAACACAGCCAAAGCCAGGGGAAGCAGAAACAGACATGTCCTTTGCTGAATGAATTATGAGTGTAGGTTTGGGATGTGTGACCAAATGATAATGACCATAGTAATAATGTAAAAAAAAAAAAAAAAGGTATAAAAGGAACAGAAGAAAAAAAATCCATTCATCCCCTCAGCCAATTTCTATGACTGATCTTAGTTCTCAAGGAAAACTATGCAGAAAATCTAGAAAGGGCAAAATTGGCATGCCTGAGGCACTTCAGCATGCTGCAACAGAGAGTTAATACCACTCTCCCAGTTATCACCACGATAAGGATTATTGCTGGAGAATTTTTCTTAAGCCAAAAGTACTCACAGCTTATTGTGTAACCAGATAAGCTGTGATTGCTCATGGACAACCTAATGGGCACAAAATCATTAATGAGAGTCTTCACCCAAAGGACCAGGTTCTGGGACAATGACCCTGCTTAGTCCCCAAAGGGACTCTAGCCAGTTTGAACATGGCAACCACAGCTCTGGAAGGCCTTGCCATTCTCCCTGACTCTTTCTGCCTTGCTAAAAACCCATTAGATTATATTCCTAAAGCTAGCCACCAAGGTCTTTCCCCCTATTTGGCTACTTCTTCCTCCTGAGGCTGACTACCAAGGTCCAGCTATCAAAGTATTGATGTCCAGCAATCAAAAGCCTCTTTTTGGCTGCCCTAATTAACGTTCCCATTTAAATTAAACACCTCATTCTAACATGGGGTTTCGCCTTTCCCCTTCATAAAGTGCCATTTGCCCATTGGCCTATGTCTGTGTTCTTTCTATCCAGAGGCCCCTCACTCCCAATATCCCTTTCCCCCTTCCCCTTCTCCCTCTCTCTCTATCTCCTGTCTTTGTCTTGTATACTCTGCCCCTTGTCCCTCGGGGCAAATAAATCACCTTTGCGCTGAAAGCTCGGTCTCTTCAGTCCCAGGAAGTTCCAGGTTTTCATGTTGCTTTGGGGTCAGAGGCAGAAAGTTGTGTTTTGGGGTTGTTTGTTTATTTTTAAAACAGAGGCTTGCCACATAAACCAGGGTGGTCTCGGGCTCAAGGCAATCCTCCTGCCTCAGCCTTCCCAGGGTTGGAATTACAGGTGTACACCACCACAGGATTTGCTATTTTAATGAGAGTAGCTACAAGACAAAGGCCTGTCCCCACCCCCACCCCAGCCTTTCAACTCTACGCACTGGGAATCCCAGTTCGGCTTGATGTTATAAAGGCCTAAGGGTGAAAGCCTTTTGCACTTAATTCCCACAGTTCGATTTGGAACCTGTTTGCACTTAATGCCACTCTCCTTGTCCTCCCCAGCCCTGAGGAGACTCACGTCTTGCCTGTCCCATGCTTGTGGCCTAGCCGGTTCGTTCCTAGGTTCCCTTTTCTACCCTACGCCATCCCCGTCCCCCAGCAGTCCCAGCACCAGCCAGCTTCCAGCTTGAGCAGGAAACCAAGCCATTTCTCGTTTCCAGTGTCTAGGGTACGGGCTCCAGGCCCCCAACCCCTCGATCCAGAGGCTCTGAATGAGAACGTCTTTATGGTCCTTGAAATCGATCGTATGAGGTTCAAACAAGGCATAAAACTGCAGACACCTTTAGCTAAAGATCGGTCGCCAGTCGTAGCAAATCTGGAAAGCGAGAACGCTGCAAATGGTTTATTTTTTATGCAGCTCTTTGAAGAGGCCAACGACTTGCACAGCACACACCCACGCACAAGTGCTGCGCCTACACATTTACACATATATCTATTTTATCATGGATGGTCTCTGTCACTCCATAGCCGTGTGTGTGTGTGTGTGTGTGTGTGTGTGTGATACCTGTCCTTGTGATAAAAGGAAATTATCTGACTCTGGGACTGACTCGCCTTCGTGTGTGATGCTTTCAATCTGACTGGAGAAAACGCAGTATGTTTTCACAGCTGATTCTTTGATAAGAACAGGCATCACTAGATAGTGTAAGCTTTTTTTTTTTTTTTTAACTTTTCCCACTAAGCAGACATAAAATGGGATAGATTCAACTGTCTTTCATACACACTGCCATGTGGCTCCATGGCTTAGCTGGTTAAAGCGCCTGTCTCGTAAACAGGAGATCCTGGGTTCGACTCCCAGTGGGGCCTTGTATTTTCATACTTTCCTACAAATGCAATTGTTAAAAAGTTACTTACAAGATTGTAGCCTGTCATTGTCCTCATACACAGTTTTTAATGAGGTAATTCAAATTCAAAACTTGGTCCAAGAATAATGCATGGACAAGTCCTTCTTAATTTTTCATAAATTTACATTCAACTCTAGTAAGAGATTTAGGGGCAGTCACAATTAGATGCGTAGATACACAGGATCCAGATCTGATCCAGATCCTAACTGTTTTTAGCTCAATGAGCCATTATAAAGGAAAACTGGAATGTTATACAGAGAGACCGGGACCTCCATCTACCCTGTCCCTTTTTATGTCGTAGAAGAGGAAGCCTAAGGGTTCCAGACACTATGCAGGCCTCAGACCACTTAGGTAAATGGCAGCCCTGTCTTTGTCATTTTGAAGAACACCTAAATTAAGCCTCTCAAGAAATTACCAGATAGACTGAAAATTAAAATTTCCTAGCCCCATGTACACCTGGAGCAAGGATAGCGAAATAGTGAGGAAAGAGCGGATTGGAAGGGCAATTGTTCCAGAACAATCTAAAGCAGCTGAGACCACCCTCAGTGCTTTGTAAAAGGTTCATGGCTCCTCATCTCTTATCTCTCATCCACTAACTTAATAAACATTAACTGTTTTTTGTGTGGCAGGCATATTCACAGAGGAAGTACAGCTGTGAACAAAGCTAACCAAAAACTCTGGGGACTCTTATATGCCAATGTAGGAATGACAGATACACAAAAATGAATATATAGTGTAATAACCACGTCCACTACTGATCAAGTCTGGGGGCAGGGATGAACTAAGGAAAGAATATGGGGCAGGTATTTAGAGAGTATCCTATCAAATAAAATCATTGGCAAATGTTCTTAATATTTTTATATATTTATTTATTTGTATGTGTACGTATGCGTGTATATGGAGGTTGAGGACAACTTGTGGAGGTCAGTTCACTCCTTACCATGTTAGTTCTAGGGACACAGCTATATTGCCAGAGTTGGTGACGGTGCCTATACCCCTTGAGCCATCTCACTGGCCACGGGTTTTTAATTTTTATTTTTTTTAACACTCAATGGAAGCTGTCACAGTATAACCAATATATCACTCTCTAAGTACTATAAGTAGCAACATAAAATGATCAGAAAATTACCTTTAACTGTGTGTGGATCTCACCTCTGATCATTTTGATGGGAACTCAAAGTAGGTCTCAGTCTCTATATCCAACCCTCACCTGCTGTG